TGGCCGTGGAGAAGGGACAGCCAGGCCGGGCCTACTGGCCGCCGAGTGCCTTCGGAACCAGGAATGTGCCTCTCCTGCGTCTCCTGCATCTCCAGGGCGGCCCCGCCGGTGCCCGGGAGCCTGCCGCGTCCACTCGGCGGGAGCCTGCCCCGGCTCCCTCCAGTCCTGACTTTCCTTCCCTCCTTGCGTGGCTTCTTCTTAGTTGTTTTTAACTCCTGTTGAGGATGTTCCGAGGCAGAGGGAAAAAACTCATGTCTCTGTCTCTTCTTTTTTGAAAAACAAAACCCAAAAGACTCCTGGGATTCTGCTCAGAGAACCAAAGATGTTTCCCCTCAGCTGAACTCGGCCACCATCATTGACATCCACCCTTCCTCCGCCTACAGCATCCGCATGTACGCCAGGAACCGCATCGGCAGGAGCGGGCCCAGCAACGAGCTCTCCATCACCGCGGACGAGGCAGGTGGGTGGCGGGCGAGGCCGGGGCTGCGGCGGGGGCCGGGGAAGGGGTGGGGTGGCACCAGGGACTCAGGAGGTTTCAGGGGCCAGACCCGTGGGATCACCGGGGCGGGCCTGGGGATGCCCTGGGGCCGGGCCTATGGGATGCACAGGGCATGGGACGGGTCAGCCCAGCACTCACACCCCTGGGCGAGGTCTCCGAGGGGGCTCTCCACAGCCCCCACTCTCTCCCAAGCCAGGCAGCCCTCTGCCTCCTCCTCTAAAGACTCTGCTCTTCACGACAACTTAGTGGGGTTCTCACCCCCAGTCTGGAAAGGACACATGAAACTAAGGGTCGATGAGCTTGAGATAACTGCCCCTTCTTGAGGGGTTTGTTGGGCTGCGCGGCGGCTTGGGGGCCACCCGGGGCCTGGCCGCCCCCTGTGGGGAGCATGGCTGAGCTAGGAGAGGACCGGCGTGTTCGCATGGGGTGTTGCCAGGAGCGGTGACTGTCATTTCTGAAAATGGTCCCTATGTCCACACTAAGCTCTGCTGCTCTCTTTCCTATTGCCATGCATTGCACAGTCCGTGTGGGAAACTTAGGCGAGAGAGACAAGCATTTTGAGGGGTCGAAGGGGCTCCCCACTGTCCAACCCCTCAGAGCCACCGTGAACAGAGCGCTGGCTGAGTCGTCCGTGGCCTGCACAGCCACACACCCCGTGCACGCCTGCAGGGCGCTGGCCACGGTGCC